TGTGGGCAAGTGACTCAAGATGGGATGCACCTCACCCAGCCTTAGACATCTAAACCCAAACCAGTGTCCAAGGACCCTTTACAGACCACAGAGAACAAACAGGAATTTCTGAAGGGCAATTTGAGATGTGCAGGTCACATCATCCAGTCTGTTTTAAACACCTGCCCTTGAATGAGATGAACTGCACCTTAATGGTTTCCCTTGAGTTTATGAGGACCTCAACAGCTATCTCAAATGTAGAAATTTAAGTTAGTGGAGGTGAGTTCCATGCTCTTCCATCCCCTGGCACGTCATTTATTTAGATTATAAGCTCTTACAGCTATGGTATTATATCTGCCTGGCGCAAAAGAGTCCAGTGCTAACGTGGGACTTTACTGTGCAGTTACCAAATAGGCCAGGACCAGCCATTTACACTTCCAAAAAAAATCAGTGCTCTGGGACAAAATTTTTTCTACTGTGCCATGCAGAAACTGATATAACAAAGAGACAGTCTAATGTGTCCACATAAAAGCAAACAAGATGACAAGTGGCAGCAGTGCAGACATTTCCAGGGAGGAAGGGGAATAAGGTGGTCAGAGCCTGAGCCTTAGCAGAGACCCCCCTAGGACTGCTGAATAGCACTGACTGCTGATGCTCGAGCTGCAGGAGGGGCAGAAAAACACTAATAAGTTGTTACGGGAGATACAGGATCTCTCATGTCGGAGGAGACTTAGAGAGGCCAGTATGATAACCCTACCAAAGCAAAGACCGTTCTTCACAACTATATCTGGGTGGTACAAATATATCTGGATGGTAAATAACAGCTGCAGAACAAGGGCCACTTAAGCCTAAAGACAACTGATTGCACAAGAAAACTTATAAAATAATGAGGCTAAAAATCAGATGAAGGGTAGGATTTTTCCTTCTAGAATTGAGATTCTAGAAAAGCCCCAAATAAGCCTAATAAAGCAAAGAAAACATTAAGCCCTCTCAAGACAGAACTCCAAGCATTTACTTAATGATTTGTATGATGCAGCGATTCAAGAGATCCAGTCTTATTTGGTGTTTCTGACACTAAGCCAAACATAGCAGAGCGCAGATCTGAAATTGTGCCTCCCGCTCCAGCAAGGTGAAGAGGGCTGTTCCCTGGCTGCAGCAGCAAGAGTGACAAGGACTCACCTCTCTGCAAGAGCCCCTGGGCTTCTGAGCTCCTGGCTTCTCATCCCGAGCTCAGGCTTCCACATCAGTCTGCAGGCACTCATCAGCCAGTCCTGAGGACCTTCTGTGAGTTATGATGGCAGCTGAGTTGAGTTCAGAAACACCAGTGGCATCCACATGTTGAACTTGGGCACAGCAGCCCCTCAGCGAACGTAACTCCCACTAACTAACCCTCAGGCTCCCTGTGCAATACCTAAGTCTACCCTTGCAAGGGATAATCAAAGTTAAATGATTTTGTCTTAGGCAGGTCAAGAATTCAAAAGACTATTCTGGCCCTTGCAGTCCTGAGGTGTGCGTAATAAAGAGTAATTGCATGGGTTTGGTGGCTCCAAAACTTGAACTTGGACTGTTCCCAACCAGGAGAGTTAATTTTTTGTTTCGTTAATCAAATCTCCATGCACAACTAGGTTGTTATACATTTTCCCCAGGACTTTTATTTTATACTTACTTGTGTACTGTCAACAGAGACGATTTTAAACCAAAGTGGTAAATCGATTTTCTTTAATCTTTACTCTTTCACACCAGTCTTCACAAAACCGAAAAGTGCAGCACGAAATAGACTCTATAGTATCTGGTTTAGGAGAGGAGCAAGTGACAAATTACTTGCCTAGGAGGAGATGAGGGTTTTTAATCAAAATAGCTTCAGGGTGTAGTGTTTTGAAGTTGTGTCAACTATTAAATAACAGGTGAAAGGGAGGAGGTTTTTCCTTTAGAAACCCTAAAGCTAAGCCTGTTCAATAAAATGAAGCAGACACCTCTCAGCCAGGTTGTCATCAGAAAAAAATCTTCATGAAAAGCCAGCATAAATTAAAGCCTTCAAATCAAAATCAGGACTTAAAGATAGTCTTGCGCTTCTTTTCATCATAAACAGTTTAGTCTCTTACACAATTGGTTCAAGATGACTTGAATGGCAGAGTTGAACACAACTCTGCTGATCCTTGAAAGTTACACCTATGAGCACTTCCTGATTAAACGAAGGTTTTAGTTTGCATTTTCAAATTCTCCTTTCCAGCTTAATTTGTTTTCCAACTAACCATCTCATCCACTGCTGAGCTATACTGCCAAGGAATGCAAATTCACAGTGCTTACTGACGACATGACATGAGGTTTGTCCTACAGAAAAAGCAAAACTACTACTGAAGTAAGAGTTTGCACGTGTGAACACACAGGATTTACTCATGCGTGCCCACTCAGGACAGAATGAACTCTTGCTTGCTTCTGCTGCTTGGGGCCTTTCTGTCAAAGGTTTTTAATTTTGCTTTATAGCGTAACCTTTGGAATACAGAATACATGTAGTAGGTTGATTTGAATTTCTGGTTAAGGGTTAGGACTCTTTGTAGAGGGGGTAATGCTGGAGTCGGGGGAGCTCGCTCGCATTTCAATACAGTCTTTCCCTTACAGTTCTATTGCACACTAAAATCTGGACTACATGGAACATAGCAACCATGTGCAAGACCATGGAACCAGCTGTGATTAGCCTAGAAGAGCACTGGCGGAGATACTTGACACTGTCTCCCGCAGCAGTCTTGTATCCAAGTCAGAACGTTACAGTCTTGGTGAGCAGACAGCCACGTAATTAAGAAACCAGCTGGATGGCTGGGCTCAGAGGGCAGTGGTTAATGGGTTGTACTCTACCTGGAGGTCAGTTACAAGTCCAGTGCTACAGTAGTGACTGCAGAACATCAGGTGTGCTCTCATCCCAGCCACAGTGTAAACAAGCCCATCCAAGTTCTTTGATTCCCTTGCATACAACCCTCCCGCAGTTGCATGTTCACTTTTCAAGGCTACAACGGCAAGAACTCCAGGGGGCCTTATCTGTCCTCTCTTCATCAGCCCAATCCAAAGTCTCTGACATCAGTGGAAACAGTCTCAATCACTTGGAGGGTCTTGGATCAAGTCCCTAATCTTAAAGAACAAAAGCAAGGAGAAAACGAGGCATTAACTTCAAATGCAGCTGCCTGAAATTCCTGCCTTGAAGTGGGAATGGAACGACTTTGAGGTTAGGCGGAAGAGCTTTTAAAATTAAAAAGAATGGGACGAAGAGCATGTTTTAACTTTCTAATTGAAAAAAGTGCTTTGGAAAATATTCTGTGAAACTGTTTTGAATTAACTTATTTATTCAGCCAAGGGAACATTCCACTCACATTCACCGAAGAATGAAAACCTGAATATCACAGTATTTACTTTGATGTTCTCTTCATAAATCGGAGCTTATTGGTGTCTTTATGCAACATACAACCTCTCAGGTTGCCTTCCAAATTAAAGAAAAACTAAACAGAACAATGTGAGGAGAGTCAGCCCATTCAAGTATTTCACAAATGGGAAGTAACAGAGGACTGCAGAGTATGTAATAGCTTTATCCTCACCTGGAGGAAGTCAGCTCCCGACTTCGCTAATGCCATAGTTTTGCACAGGGGAGCTACCCGAATGCTAACAGAGCAAGAGGCTGCATACCCTGTTCACAATGTGCCTACACACTTCACCAGACCCTGTGCCATGTGTACACAGCCAGAGGAAAGCCTGACTGTATGTGTTACATGTGCATCATGTTCCTTGGCCGCACTCCAGCCAGCTGCTTTCATGTCTGATAACTTTCGCCCAGAAAGTTATATACTCAGAATTCATAGCTACACCCTTCTTACTCACAGAAGGTCTTACAATCACTCTGTGTTACCATGATAACCTGAGAACTGACTGTTCTCAGCAGGTCTGGTGTATCACAAGACTCGTATGCTTTTTCTGGACCAGGTCATTAATCATTTGCTCTGCAACTAATTTGTCTAAAGTCAAAACAATCAATGTAAGGCACAGGTCAAAGGAAAGCCATCTCTCTCTCTCCCCAGATTTTTCACTAATGAACAGCCTAGTATAGTAACAGTGTGACTAAGAAGTCCGAAAGAGCTTCTTTTTTCCGCTCTTATCTTCAAAATGGTCCAACCAGTAGACCTGAACCAAAAGAAAATACTAAAGAAATGCAAGAAGTGAACTGAAAAGGACATCTTGCATTTTATAATAACAAACCAAACAAACATTGCACTGCTTGCTTTGCAAATCTTACAGAAAAGTTCCTCCTTAGCCCAGGCTGCCTGTTTCTTAACAAAGACAAGCAGAACTAGCTGCAGGCAATGAAGTATATTAGCGTTTGAATTCATGCTTGTCTATCCTCTGAAGGGAAAACTCTCTTAAAAGCAACCTAAGGAATCTCCTCAAATGTATTCTGGCAACAGTCATTTGAGACTTGAAGATTTCTGATGTCTTTACAGTTCCTTAAAAACAAACTGGGAAATGTTAAAAAACAAACCCACAGATTGCTGCCAATTTCAAAACAGGATGTTTTTGTTGTTGATGACTGTAATTACAACCAGTGACCTTGAAAATGTAAACAACCCATCCATTACCTCTTCTTTTCTAATTATTGTTCCAAATATTTTTTTCTCTTTATAAACTTGGCTGTATGAGTAGTTTAGCACTCGTACTCTGGGAAAGTAGAGAACTTCCACAGGACTGAAAATATTTGCACCCAATGTCACCAGCTAGTTGAAGGGAAAAGGAAGGGAGGAGGAGGAAAGTATTTAGTATATGGCTAGTGATTTAAAATGAAGGTGGCTGTTACCAGCACACAGAAAAAGCAAGACAGAAAAGGCACCCCTACAAGAAACGCATTACAAGTATTGCTGAAGAAAGACCCATTGTCAGGAGATAACTTTGGAAAGCGTCCAAACTCCTGACACAGCAAGGAGGAAGTTCGGCACCTCTCCCAACACCTAATCCTGCAGTCAGAAACCTGACCCCCGAGCCCTTACCTTCTGATGTCCAAATTCATTCAATATCGTGCCCAGCTTCTTTGTGTTGCTATGAAGTTTATGAGCAGCAATGGCTGGGTTGGGATCCCTCCAGTCAATGGACAGGCGATGATACCAGAGGTGTCGACCCTCCTGAACGTGTGCTGACTTGATGCTGGGATCAAAGCGATGCACCTCACATCCACTGTTGGCCATGCTGACCTCAAACTGGTTGTCATCGTTGCCGAGCCTATGAAACAAAAAAAATGTAACTATTAATGCCGCAAAAAGAAATATTAGTGAGTAGGACATTCTGAGGATTCACAGTAAAAGCAGGTAAAATTGAACCTATTTATTTCTGAAGCAAAGTGGAGGAGGTGTTGTGCTCCTTCTCGGGATATATCCACAGCACTGAGTACTATCTAACCCTAATTCTGATGGGATAACCAGAAATAAAGATAAGGCTCCACAATAATATCTGCTGAAGATTTGGAATGAGTAGTTAGATAAAGGAAATTTAAAGAAAGATGTGTTTTTTCCCAATGTCACATTCATAATTGACCTTAAGAAACTTTTAATGAAATTTTTCATTTATAGAATGAAAATATTGGAGGGGATGGGATGAACTAACCTCACCAGAAAATTCAAGCTCAATACAATATACTGCATATGATTAGAATGAAGGACTCCTCTCAAGGCAAGAACTAAACTGCTTTCAGCCAGGCTGATAATCTTCCCAAAGAGCTTTTTCTTAATTCAGAAGTTGACAGCATTTATAAGAAAATCAATTAAACATTAGAACCTTTGTGCCATCATTATTCCTCTATTCATATTTTATATTTATATATATTCTTTTATTTTCAATTTGCTTTTTTCAACAAGATTACAATACTTTCCTTAGTCCCCACTGCATAAACTTCCAATAACCAAGCCATAAGCAGAAGAGCAAATATATTTAAAATTTATACAACACTGTTTTGCAAAAATCAGGCATATTTCCCACCGTGTCTATGATCTGGTTTTACAAAGATGAGCCACAATGGCCACCAACAGGGACAGGACACAAGAACCAAATGTCCCTCTCTGTGCACAGGAAGACACAGCTAAAAAGGCAAATTTAAAAATAACCCCTTCACAACAGTAGCAGAGTTTTTACACAGACTTAAGAGAAAGATTGCTGCTAATTTGGCAAAGACCCCAAAGAAGAGGAAAAATTAATAGCCCCATCATACAACAGTGTTATCTGAGTACCTGCCTCTGCAAGGAGAAGCTCTGCTTTATAAGGCGGTGCCATATTCCCACCTCCTACAGTTCATTGGTTCACATAGGGTACACTAAAACTAAAAAATTCTTGTATTTACCATTGCAGTCATATGTGTGGACCACAGGCCTTCCCTACCGCATAAACCAGGATGTTTTCTTCATAATCTCCAAGCTTGTTCCAAACACGGTTCAAATCATGCACTAAACCTTAAACTTGATCAAAATGACGCTGTTGGATGTACACACATGTAGTACTGGGAAAGGAATCAAGGTTTTCAAATCAGTGCTTCAACCAGTTGTACTAACTGAGAATATCCACTATGTACTAACAGCATTTATCTGTCATACACAAATCATTACAGGGCAGTACTCTTAGATGTACTGCCAGAGCACCTGCTACACTACATCACAATTATCCTTAGAAATGGCGTGAGTATGAAATAATTCTGGCCATTTTCATCAATATGTAAAACACAGTACATTTTAAATCATGCCACACTATGGTACGACCTTAAGCCAGCACTAAATGTTTTACACAGATGACATACTGGTAAAGTAAAATGAATCCAACTTGTGAAACAATGTTTGGAAGAGACTATGTTTTGGAAGTTACCAATACAGTTTGATGGTTGCTGCAATACTTGCCAAGCACAGTGTAATGATGCCCTATTTGAAGAGGTTTTCTCCTCACCCATCTTCCCCTTCAGGCATCCTGGGAAAGTAGGACAAGACAGGGTTTGCAAAAGCAGCCCAGCATGCTTGTAAGAACAACTCTATTTCACAGGATTCCAGCCTGTACAGCTGCGTAGGAGTTAAAAAGAGGAGTTTTCTTTTAATACATCCGACGCACATTAGGAAGTTAACCCAGTGAATCGACGCATCTGTTTGTATGTGGCTTTCTACAGAAGGGACACTCATGGGCAAAGACCAGTGTAACCCCTTAGGAACGAGAAGCTGGGTAAAAACGACAACACACGAATTGCCGGGGACAGTTACGGCATTAGAGTGATGAGCCTACCAGCGACTGACGACACACGCATCTATGACACACTTCCAGCCGTACCAGCTGGTACAAACAGAGGACCAGATGCTTTTTATGTAGACAAACCTCAGGCTGCCTCCAAACAGATTGCTACTCACGCGGACTGCAAAGGGAGGTTCACAGTGGTGATAAAACAGAAAACAAATATAGATGAGGGTGAAGAAGGTGCTGATCTATCTTCTGGCACTCCAGCTAACAGCTCAAACTTATGCCTGAAGAGAGATCTAACCAACAACAAATATTTAGGAGAGAAAACAAGGTCATCTCCAAAAGAACTAGTCTGAAAAATTCCTGCCTCATGTGTTATCATGCTACGGGTTAAAGCAGCATGAAAAAGGTAAACAGATGAGGTCTTCTGAGAAAGATTTTGTGTTACTTAAAGAGGGACCATGATTTTAAAAGCAAGGTGTGGAGGGCACAGAACGCTAGAGAGGCCGTTCGCCACCATCAGGAGAGAGCCACTGCTGCCTCCAGCAACAGCAAAATAAAAAACGCTAAAGACACCAACCTATTTTTACTGTAAAGAAGAAGAAAGCTCAGTTACAGTCAGCAGTTGCATGCAGCCCCCGGCAGCAGGGGTAGCGGTGGGCTTTCAAAGCAGCAGCAACAGCACAGTCAGGACCCACTCTGTCAGCCCGCGTGCCAGTGGGAAGGAAGGGCTTGCTGGCAGGGCAGCGGGGCCGGGACACGGCCCAGGACGGAGTGCAGCACAGTGGGGAGCAGTGTCCCTCGGCTGTCCCCCACACCCAGTGTTCGCAGAGGGTCACGGTACACAGAGCCCCGCGCTCAGAATAAACGCTGGGCTGCAGCTTGTGCTGCATGGAGGAGCAAGGAGCATCACACCAGCCCCGCATCACCCCAGTGCACAGGCGGCACAAAAGCTGCTCTGTCTCCTCCATTACAGCTATAAGGGACACCAGTAGCTGATCCCACCTGATAGCTGCAGGTACTCCAGCTCCCACTGGGACCGCAGGACAGAGCTGTGAAGACATGCATCTTAAGGTCCAGTTTTCCCTTTCTGTGTTCCGCCTCCTCCTCTTCTTTCTCAGAGGAAGGTAACTGACCTCTGCAGCCAGGGGAAAAAAAGAAGCATCCCCTGTCTGGATCCTAAAGCCTCTACACTTTAAGATCCATTTGAAAGGGCTTTTATACAGTACTGCAGAGAATCTTTAAACCTCAACTGTTAAGTTTCTGAAATCCTATTCGTTTATATTATCCCAGCTTGAGTGCCTGCCTGTGGTGTTTGTAACAGACTTGGTGTAATCTAAGCAGATTTAGCACTAACAACTAGAGTTCACTAATGCATATTGCCATTACGTATCATACTGGGAAATCCTGTGCCCCAAGTAAAACCACCGCTGCCTCCCAGTAGTGGAAGCAACTAACACTAATCTGAAAAGATCTCCAAATGTTTCAGACACTGCTCACTCCGATTCACAAGTAACCTCTTCCACAGCATTCAAGAAGGCAAAGCCTAAGCAGCATGTTTTGTTCCATTTTTAATGATACATGGATTTAATTCACGATTCCCAGTAACACTCACACTGAACTTTCACATTTGTCCTCCATCCGTCCTCCCCACAGAGAATGTTCTCCACTAGAAGCAGCTGCTCCCCCTTTGCTCTTTATTAAGTGTATGAGATAACAAAAATGTTTAAAGGGGATTTTTGTCTTACTCAGAACAAAATTACATTTCTGCCTTTAATAAATGAAAGGAAGTGAGTCTGAGAGAAGAATTATACAGTAACGAACTCCAAGGGCTGCAGAAGTAAACTGGAGGATTGAAGACTGCTCCTCCTTAACCTCAAATATTTCCTTTTTATTTTTTAGCTGTTTCATGTGATGCATCATGGTTGGGTATTTACTGCAGATGTGTATCTGATGATTGATGTGAGAGCCAACATCAATTTCAATCTCTGCTAAGCCCTACTGTTCCATCAGTACAGAAAATCTGGCATTCAGGCTCCCTGTACCATACCTAAAACACTACCACATACAAAGCACTGGTATACATGCACTAGCTTAGATTTGTTCAAAACCATGAGCAAGTTATCTTTGTGCCAGTCAACTTCATGCCGAATCTGCCTTTTGTAGCACAGATGAAATCAATTCTGCGTTGTGCCTACTGGCCAATTCAACAAAAATACCATTCTCAAACCACACTTGGTGCACAGCAAAACGGAAGAGGGACACTAATACAGGAGTTCAGGTCTAATGTTAATGATCATGTAACTTGAAGGGCAAGGTCTAGATTAATTCCACTGAACTTTGAGTACTTTGCCAAGACATCTAAAGTCAGCAGCCACATTATCCCAGACTTCTTCTATAATCAAAGGAAAGCTATACCTATCTCCAGAATGTTATTTAGCTTAGCCGATTGTGCCTGCCTCTCCCCGCTGACTACCAGAAGGAGCCTCAGGCAATGAGCCAGCACGACAGTCAAGCAGGTAAAGTGTGGACCTGAGCATGGGGTAACACAGCATCTCGCTTAACTTTCACAGGAATGTGAAAAAAATGAGAAAAAAAATAATGTAAACCTGTATTTTGCATTAAAACCAGGTAAGTATAATTTGAAATAGATTGCAAAGAACATTCAGAAAATAAGAAGTAACAGTAGTCAGAATCGTAGCATGGTTTGGTTGGAAGGGACCTTAAAGATCACGTTGTTCCAGTCCCCCTGCCATGGCCAGGGACACCTTCCACCAGACCAGGTTGCTCACAGCCCCATCCAACCTGGCCTTGCCATTGCCCCTTGTCCTGTCACTCCCTGCCCTTGTCAAAAGTCCCTCCCCAGCTTTCTTGTAGGCCCTTTAAGTACTGGAAGGCTGCTCTAAGGTCTCCCCGGAGCCTTCTCTTCTCCAGGCTGAATAACCCCAACTCTCTCAGCCTGTCTTCACAGCAGAGGTGCTCCAGCCCTCGGATCATCTTCGTGGCCTCCTCTGGACTCTTGCTCTCCATATATGTGATTTTGCCTCTAAGGGGCATGTTATTGTTGTTCTGCCACAGAGCAATGCAGCGAACAAAACCTGAGAGCCCCTCACCCTCTGAGGACTTCAGTGTTTACAGATCAATATACGCTCCATCCAAATATAAGCCCACCCAAATTAATGGAAAACACTCCCTTTGACTGCAGTGCACTCTGCATCCACTTTACATTAATTGCTGCTGTTAACTGCCATGTGCTAATTACTGAGAAATGCCACCCAGACACCTTGCTATCCATCATCTGTAAACCCACAGCAACAAAAATCACAAAATAAACTGCGCTGGTTCAAGGGAGATGAAGCCTTTCAGTACACCTCTAACCTAAAGCTGACTCCCAGGACAGCAAAGACAGTTTTATTAGGCAGCAGCCATGTGGTGATCCGTGTGAAACAAGCTCCGGACCCCAGCGATCATTCTCCTAATGCACCTGTGCGCCAATGGGCAATGCAAAAGGCCAGTGCCTTGATGAACTCTGACAATCAACCTCCCTCATCCTCCTGGGAAACAGAGTGTTTCATTAGCAGGGAAACAGGCTGCATTTGTGATTTTACTACCTGTGAAAGCACTTGTTCTGTGAAGAGTGAAAACTTCAGTCTCAAGTGCTGTGAACATCATAAACACTGCAAACATTTTAAAATAAAGCCACAACTGCCTTTATTATTATCACTTCGGCACATGTCACCCCTGAAGTGCTCTGCAAACACACTCTCATATGGAAGTGTACTATTTTGTCCCAGGTGTAGTTAATGAAGTTTTATAAGTAATGCTGCTGAAGTACCTGGCAATTATTAAGTCCTTTTTGCTCAGGGAAGATGCTGTAGGCTTCTCAGTTTCTCTCGTTAATTTCCATCTTCCTCTATGTGAATTACCACTCACTACTCACCATTAAGCAATTTGTTTTCATACCCATATTAGAAAAGCAAAGGAAAACAAAGACCCTCATGGATAAAGGTCGTTCCCTAAAAACAGAGTTTACAGAAACACATCAACATGTAACAAACACACCCGAAACAAAGTCTGTATTTTAAGACAACTTTGTTGCAGCTGTGTTGCATCTATAGGGCTTTTTGAAGCTAGGTGTCATGAAAGATTTTGCTGTCTTTTTAAAAGAACACTTACCCAAGGGAATAGAGACGGCATTGCTTGCTTCTGATTCGATGAATGAGGCTAAACCTCTCGTCAAGACAGACCGACCAGGGCTTCTTTGTGGTTTCAGAGTACCCTTTCAGGCTGTTCAGGTTCATGTGTTCACAAGAAATCTGTCAAAATCAAAGGATGTTTCATTTTAAGACACGACTTTTAATTTGTTTTTAATTTGCCTTCTGGGGA